CGTCGCGGTTCGAGTGGATTATTGCACGATGTCGAGGAGAATATATAGGTGCACGCCCACGTATAAGTGCTATCAACCAGGCGATCATCGATCGATGATTATCGTTTGCGCGAGTTCAATTTCGAAAAAACGGCAGCTCTACATATAGTCTTAAATCTCGAAATCAAAATTTGACTCCTTTGGATTATTATAGAAGCTTGGAAATTAGTATGTTAGAATAACGATGTAAGTGTGAATGTCAATACAATTTTCGGCTTCATTTGATTTGACAAATAGCACTGTCAATCACCTTTAAAAAAATCACCTTAGAAAGAAATTGACGATGTTCGTTATAAAATATTTAAATATAGAATTGTTTGCAGTTATTACTTACATGGATTAAAAAATGTTAATTAATATCAAAAGCTTAATTTAAAATGGATTAAAAATAACTATTATAATAGAATGCAGAAAAATACATTTTTAGCATTCTTCGCTGATGTCTTCTACTTCTACATGATTACGAAAAATTAAAGGAATATTGATCGTCTCGTCAAGTCTTAAAAGATTTAAAATAATTCTTGAACAAAAAAAGGATGAACATATGTGTATATTATGCAATCGAAACTTAATGATGTCATTGATCGTGGTATAGTACGATATATGGAATTCTAATTTATAATGATGTTTCTTGCTGTCTTACATATTAACACTCCTCGAAACAACAACACGATGTAATTACGATGTTCACGACTTCTTCTTTAACGAGCAAAGGAAAGACGTATGCTTCTCTTGGGGTGGTCGACGCCTTCTACAAGATTCGCGCTACGAGATAAATTGATTCTTTTACCCCTGCATGTATCTTTGTTTTGATCAACTGTTGAATTTTGTTTCCAAACATTCCTTCGAATTTTTTTCTTTAAAATTAGTACGCATTACATACAATTTAAGAACACTCGGTATTTTATAAATTTCCATCACTTTTCTATTAGACGTCTGCCTAGCTGTCCCCCGCCTCCTACAAATCTTAATAAATTATATAATAATGCGCTATTTATGTGTTTTCAAAATTCGCAAAAAAAAATTTTGGCACTCATTTTGTTTAGCTAAAAAAAAATTTTTTTGTAGGGGACTGAGTTGTCTGTCAGTCAGCCCCCCCCCCCCCCCCCCCCCCCC